TGGCGGTTTTGGTTTGGGTTTGGAGGGTTTTCTTGTGTGTTCCCCTTCTGCCCCCACCCATCTGCCCCAAGCTTAAACTATGACCATGAAATTCTATTTCTGGTTAACCTGTTTCAGAATTTCTTACTTGAAACTGTACTTTTACATGTCTCTTATTTCAAGAAACTTGAATTGTGTGTTGAGTTTAGTCAAATCTTACTATCTGGGGGAAAAAAAAAAAACCCACAAAAAAACCCCCACAAAAATCTCAAACATTGCTTGTTTGTTTTACATGATCAACCTGTCAAAGGTGAGAGATGTTTCTCTTATAGCTACTTCTATCTCTCTATAAAATAGATACCACAGATTCAAGAAAAATCTATTGAGCAAGAATTGTTTCTTCTGAGAGAAGAGCTGAGCCAGACACAAAAGAAACTGCATGAAATGGAGGAGGCGAAGGCCAATGAATATCCAAGAGAATCCAAACAAATGGGGGAAACAAATTTGACTCCAAAACTGCATGAGTGTCAGGAAGTGAGCATTCTATCAGAAAGAGAGAATCTTAAAATGCAACTGGAGAATCTCCAAAATGAGAGAGACCAACTAAGAGAAACTATACAGCAGACAACTAGTATGGTAAGATAAATAATCCTATTCTTTGAGTAAGTAAACTTCAGTCTTAAATTTTGGAAGTGTTGTTCTGGCTTTAATGTATTTAATGTACTTTTAACTGTGTTGTGTCCAAAGAATTCGGAGATGAGGGAAGAATTGATATGTGCTCAAAACTCTCTTGTGGAGCTGAAGGAGAGTCTTTCAGAGAAAGAAAATCAACTCTTGAAAGCACAAGAGATGTTGAAGGAAACAACTGATGAACTCCAGCAGAAGGTCAGATGCAGTTTTGTCAAGTTAAACTAAAAATTCTCTCAGGATTGGTAACCCATGTCCTCTGCAGACCACAGTTTTTAAGGGTTTGGTAAAGGCAATAATGAAACTCAGTTAAAAGTTTCTCCCTTCTTCATGCCCCCCTCCCCCATGCTGCTTCTCAAAAGAATTCTATAGAAACAGAGGCAGTGAAAAGATCATCAAATGCAATTTGACTTGCAAGCTAGAACCTTTGACTTATAACTAAATATGCCTTAGTGCTGAAAGATGGAATACTATTTGGAGTCAGCACTGGTCTTTTGACCTCAATGCACTTTCCAACTCTTAAAACTCTTTAATTCTAATAATGTGTTAGCTATGTAGCTCTGAAGGTACTTGAGCAACTAAAAGGCAATTCAGTTCATTCTTTAATTTGCTGTAGCATTATAAATTTATCTACTTACTATTTTCATGTCTGAAACTATTAGGCTTGATTTTAACAAGCATTAATGTCTATCTGCTGTGGATACGGCAATGGAGTAATTTTTATGGAATTACAATGTAAACATGTTTGCTTTTATCTACCAGTTAAAAGTGAGACAGAAGCACTGAAATTGTATTGACTTAAGCACAATTGCTACATTTTCCTATGTTTACTATGGCAGTAAACTAATGGAGGGGTCTTCTGTAAAATAATCCAATTAAAATAGCCCATATGTACAGATTGTGCTTGTGAAATATGATCCAGTAACACTTCTTAAATCAGAATGATTACTAGAAAATTTCATAAATTAGAATGAAAGACAAACCAGTAGCATTCTATCTGCCAAATTACTTCTACCCATGCTAGAGATGATTAAAAATATTAATACTGTTTCTTCTTTGTTCTTTCAGCTCACTGAAGTAACTGGACACCTGACTAGTGTTTCTTCTGAATATGGCAAGCTACAGGCAGAAAAAGAACAAATTGAAAGAACAATGAATGAACATTTCTGTCAGCAGCTTGAGAAGATCAATCAGGAGAAAGATGATCTGCAGAAAATAGTGGAGACTTGTAAAGCAGAAAGAGATAAGTTAAAAGCTGACTGTCAGGAAAGCAAGGAGAGAGTATGTATAAAATCTCTTAATAGAATAACGTTTCAAAGGCAGGTTGTACTGCTCTAAATTATTGTGGTTGTGAACCCTTCTGTTATTTAGTATCTGTTTCTCTTCACTTGTTCATAGTGGCAGAATATTAAATTTACTTTACTAATCCAATTTAGATTTTGGAATCTCTCTCCGATTTTTAATCCCCCTTATCCCCTTCCTGTCCTTTTGGCCGTTGTGCCGCTGTGGGTTTAGGCGCAGTTGTCTGCCACCTGCTGGACAAACACCCCGTAAATTCCTGTTTTATCTACAGTCACTCTGGATTTAGCACTAAATAGTAGCAGTAATCCAGGTTTACTGATATGTAAGGGCTTAATTGTCCTACCACTTCAATTCATTCTGGATTGAAGAGAGAAAAATTGATTAGTGATCCTGTTTCTCCTTCCTGATGTCTTATTTTCTGGCAAATTAGGAACTACAGTATTCCAAGTATTTGCATGAAAGGTATGCTTATGTTGACACTACTCAGAAAAATTCATTCAGCTATGTAGTTAATGAAAATTAAGATCATCATTTCTAAAGTTTAAAAGGAAATCTGGTAAATATCTTTTTCCCGAAGCAAAACTCTGCAAATAATTTTCAGAAATATAAAAGCTTTTGGATGAATTTTAGAAAACGTCAGGTAGAAACACTGATCTTTTAAGTATGTATAGACTGACTAATGTAAAAAAAAAAAACATCAGCAAAGTTGGATTATCAAATCTTTAATTTTAGTTTTACATCTTGGTACTAAACAATTGGACAAATTGTTCATGTAACTGGTCTGCAAGCTTTGCTTAGTGAAAGGAGATGCTTTCAAGGGTAGAACTTGTACTCAGACTAAAGCAGGGTGTTTTTTATGCGAAGTTTTTTGACTCATATGAAATAATGAATGCCCTGATGTGTGAGAGGTAGATTCGTGTGCTGTCTCATAACTTTAATGTTATTTTTGTTGCTCTATTTTTACTCCAGATTATTGAAACTGAAAAAGAATTGAAGTGGCAGCAAGAACTCCTCAGCAATGAGAAGATCAAAGCTGAAGAAAGGGAAGAACATCTGTCAAAGGTTCAGAGGCGGTCAGAGATTGTGGAGGACTGCCTAACAAGCAAGGTGAGGAGTTTTTAGTAGCTGTTCTGTCTTCTGATATTTTATTATGTGGTAAACTCTTGCTCAAGATAAATCCTATTTAATTTTTTTTGTCAGCATATGATTTTCATGGTTGCTAAACAAGCATGAACATGGGCAAGGGATTTCCTACAAGAGTCTTTAGTAATATTTAGAGATAGCATCCACAATTTCTCGGCCTCATAACCAGGTTGGTTGGTCACTCCATTAGATGGACACCAATTTATCCAGTGTGTGCAAGCTTAATACATTTGTTCTGACTTCAAAAGACACTGTGTAGACAGTATTAACCTAACAGGGTTTGCAATCCTTGGTGCTTCACACACTTTCAAACTATGTAATTCAGTAAATCTTGCGCTTTCTTGCCAATTCCATCTTTTTGCAGTTTTCACTTCTTTGTTTTTCACCTTTCAAACTCTTCCGTTGACTGCAGATCAGAGTAATAAAAGATTGCTTCACATTAGTGAATGTGTTCTACTATTCATTAGAGTAGATAGAAAGACAATTCCATTGCCCATCTCTTGTGCTGATCTTCTATTACTTTTTTCTTGTGATGGGGATATATGCTGACTGCCTTTTCATTTCCTCTTGCTTTACTGAAGACCAAAGTTGACTAAAGTAGAGTTCTCAGTGTCATGCTATTCTGTTCTCTTTTAATTTCTTTTTCTGAGCAATTAGTAAACCAAAATTATTTTTAAGCTTCTCTTGCTGTTAGTATGAATTATTATTGGATAATTATTACTGGATATTACTGGGTCATTGGAAATTGTGCTCTTTGTACTTGACACAATTGATGAGAGTACTTCAGAGGGTAGCATACAGACCAGGACCAAATTGTAATTCTTGGGTGGCTTTTCTTCACTACTTATTATAGCTTCAACAGTTAACTGAGATGCTAAATAGCGTATCATGTGAAAAAGACCAGTTATTGGCTGAAAGGACTAGTCACTCTTCCCAACTTAAAGAGGAAATCTCAGTAATTAATCAAGAAAAAGATGAGCTACAAAAACTTCTCCAGGATGTCAGGTCTGAGCGGGACCAGCTCAAGGAAGAATTGCAAAAAAATTCTGAGAAGGTTGGTGTTGCAAGTTGCATACCTAAGTTATTTGTAACTGCTCTTCTTGAATGGTACTTAAATATCAATATCTTTATTATTTAATTTTTAGTGGGCTGAAACAAATGCAAAACTGGAATGTACTCTAGACCAACTGAAGCAGAGAAACCTGAATGATATGTCCATTCAGGTGAGCCTGGATAATGCAGAAGAGATGGTTGATGACAGACTGAAGGAAACTAACTTCAAAATTATGGTAAACTTACTTCTCTGCTTATTTTAAGGATGCACGTAGAACCAGAACCTTAACACCATTTGTTCTGGAGCATAAACCTTGCTTCTGTGTGTAATGTATAAAACTGTTTGCCTATCTCGCTAAGATGCCGCAAACCGTGGGATCAGTTGATTTGCTGTTGCTGTTCACTGCCTGTGCACCTCATTCTGAGAATGTTAAATTGAAATTCTTAGTTGAGACATCTCACTTGATTTCATCACTAGTAAAACTAGTCGTGTAGCAGTGCTTCACCATTTTCTTTTTGCAAGATCCCTTCCAAATCCTCCCTTCAAAAATAACATCCCCATCAAAAATAAACTGGTTTCACATAAATCAATTTCATTAAATAGCTTCTTTCCCCAAAATAGGAAGCTTCTCTAATTCCTCAGAGCTTTTGGTAATTAATTCTCCTGAGTATGCTTTCTCACAGATGTGAGAAGTACTCCTAACCTAATGAAAGCCAAAATAAACTGGGGTTTATGAATATTTATGAAACATTTTAAAGTGGAGTACCTTTGTACTACAGTTTGCACATGTGTGCAGAAGACTTAGGCATCATTCTATATATGCTAGAAAAGCCCTGGGTGTTTCTTCAGTATAATATCAAAAGTGGAAAAGGACGAAATTGTAAAAATTGGTTGTGTAGCTTTCTCCACATTTTTTATCCTACATCAGCAATAGGGAGCTAATACTGAGGAAAGTAAACATTAGTTGATCCCTTTTAATGGTGCTCTCCCCTTCTGACTTTTGTAGTAGGTTAAGATCTTGTCTGCTTCTTATGCAGTTTTCCGATCTTATCCCATGTGTCTAGCAGAAACAAGTACAAATGTTAGTTCCACTGTTTGTTTGGTTTTTTTGTGGTGTTTTTTTTTTTATGATGGGGTGAAGAGTTATACTGGTGAATCCTGTTTCTTTCAACTAAGAACCAAAGATGGAGGCAGTATGCCTAGGAAGTTTTATACTTGCTTTAAAACATACAACCTATCTTCGTATGTGATACTTGAGTTGCAGTTTACTGGGAGTGCCTTGAAACCTACTGCACTTCTCAGCCTGCTCACTGCTAGATCACATCTCCCTTTTTATGGCAAAGTGTTAGGAATAATTTCATGATCCCTTTCTTTCAAAGGACTGAATAGATAAACTTGAGAGCCCAACCTGAGGACATTCCAGTTGTCAAACTTCTAAACAGGCAACAATTTCATTTCAGGCCTGTTCTACAGGTCTTGATGTGGTCATCAAATCTAAATCATGAAAATAACTTGAGCTTGTGAAATGATTTTCCAGAAAACTAAGATATTCTCTGGTTTTCTGCCTGGGTTAGTGTTTTTGTTGTATTCCTGTGGCAAGTAAAAACTGAAGTCTTAGTCCTTTTAACTTTTCAGCTGTAAAACCAATACATACTGCAGGGGCTAGTCCTGGAGTTTGATGGTTTATTTTAAGTGTCTGTTTAAAGCTAATCACTCGTTACCTTACTGTGAATGAATTTTTTTCATTTGTATTTAGGAACTTCTTGAGAAATTCCCAGCTATGGGGCAGAGGTATGAACGTCTCTCTACAGTGTCACTTAATCTAAAGAATGAACTGAACAGTCAGAAGGCAGTGATAGCTGTGATAGAGACTCAGCTTTCATCGGAGCAGAGTAAACAAGTCAAGATACTTCAAACTATAAACGAGAAAATAAACAGAAATCTCCAGAGTTTATTGAACAAACTGAAGGTACCAACTTAAAATGCCTCCTACTGCTTTGGTTTGTGTTTTTTTAATAAGCTCTCAAATTAACAACCAGTATTCTATATACTTTAGCTTTGGATTTTTTTTTTTTTTTTTTGGTGAATCCGTATCATGTACCTAGGTTTTGACTGTAGTTCAGCTGCTTTGAAGAGTATTTCATTAATATTAATCCATTTTAATTGGGAAAAGAAATTTCCTTTCTATACTCCATAGAGCAAATTATTGGACCTCTAAGTATGCATTGCATGTTTTTTATCCCCTCAATGAAAAATGCCTTGGAGATGCACATTTACTCTGCAAGACTACCCAAGTAGCTTAAGTTCCATAGCCTTGCAGATCTTCCTCAATTTGTAGTTCAGTGGAGAAAATGATTCCAATTACCAAAGTTAAGGGCAATTGGGAAATAATTCTTGTTATCATATGCAGAAGTACAGTAAACAAAGCTTTTCTGTTTATTTGGCATTAAGTGTTAAGGGAGTTGAGGGAGGAGGGAGTATGGCAGAAACATGATGACACACAGGTCTGGGGAGACAGCAAGGTTCACGTACAGTAGTATACAAAAACTGGACATGGTCTTAAGCGTCAGTCATCGCTATAAATAGCCAGTAGCAAACAACTCTTCCAAAGAGCCGTATTTCATAACTTTAGGTTTGATTTTTTTTTTTCCTCCATTAGATGCTTTTTAACTTTCATGATTAAAGATGTTTAAGTAGTAAACTCAACTAGAATGAAGCTTTAAATCAGCACAGTGATATTATTCTTGTAGATCATCTGCACCTTTCACAGCTTTTAAGAGGAAATAAATACAACAACAAATAACTCGCTTTGCTTTTTGAAGTCTAGATTCATGAAAGGCTGTCCAGAGCATTTCAGATTTTCTGGTCTCTTTAGGAGTCCACAAAAACTAGCATCCTTTAGAAACGCTGGCCCAGCTAAAAGTCTAAAATGCTGTTGCTACTCAGCTCACATGAACTTGATTTGCTTGATCATGCTTTAGTTGTGCTGCACATCTATGGCCTAGGAAAAGTAAAAAGATTGAATTATGGCATTTTACCTGGATGTGAGGTACCATTTTAAAGCATACTCACTGATACATCCTGTGCTTCGCCAACAGTTTCTGTTTAGTCGTGTTTGCTCAAAGAAAAGAGACTATTATGCTACTGTTAATAAATATGAAATGGAATTGCTAGAGGAAAAGAGAAAACAAGATCAGCTACGAGCTCAGATTCAGCACCTAAGAAAGATCTATTTCAACCAGAATGAAGTGTCTTCTCAAGAGTTAAACACCAGTGAAATGCTGCAGAGTTTGCACTTGGAGGCAGAGGTAGTATTGAAACAATTTTCAGACAGAAACATTTGTGTATTTCAAGGCATGGGGTAATGTGGTGGTGCTAATCTAATAGCATTGCTTTCATCTGTTAAGACTTAAGGGGGGATTAGAATTTGTAATGTCTATGCTACTAATTCTATAATATGAAGTTTCTATAAAGTTTTTTCAAGTATCTCAAAATTAAATTATTAGGTTATAAAATAGTGGGAAAGTTATTTACTCATTTGCTGCTTAAAATACATACTACCCAATACCAAGGTTACTTTTAAAACAATGAAACTCTTACTAACATGCGTATTTTTTCCCCTTCCCATCTGCCCCAGGAATGTAGATGGTTTACTCATTTTCCCAGTAGGGTATAACTTAAGTATAGTAGAGTTCCTTTTATGTGATAACTAGATGCTAAAACAGACTTTCTGCAACTGTTGATGGCCAAAAGTGCAAAATATGTATTTAGACGTGTAGTTACAAAGCAATATTTAAACCTGAATTCCCTCTTTTTTCTCTTTTTAAAGAGCATTCTCAAGGATGTATCAGAAATGGAAAGTGAACTTCTATGCATAGAGGCAGAGTTACAGCAGGAAGAAAGTGCTAGAACAGAAACTACACAGTTTTGGGAAGCTTGTTCAGGAGCTCACTGTGATGCTGAGGAACTTAAAGAGGAGTTAAGGAAAGATAATGAAAGGCTCTCGCAAGTCATTAACTTCTGGAATCCTAAAGTAAAAGTAATGTTAAATCTAATCAAATCTATTTATTGTGTCTAAGCACTCCGTAAATGCCTCTGATCTGATTAAAAACAAACAAAAAATACTATTTAAAGGTTATTATTAGCTCTCTACTGTATTTGTACTTAACTGTAAGAGATAGGAATACTCCAAAGATTTCTAAAGACTTATTTCCTAATGTATCCAAACTTGGAAATTTGCTTTGTGACTTTCTAGGTGATAAATTGGGGGGGGGGGGGGGTGTTTTTGTTTGACTGAATTTT